ATTATATTATAAATAACAAAAATATAAGTAATCAATAATAAATTAATAATATAAATGAAGTATTTTTACATTAAATGCAGTTATTTAGTAATAATAATGTTATCGTAAGATTTGATAATTTATCATGTATCTAATAACTAAGCAAACCAGTCATGTTTTTTATATATATTGCAGTAAGAGTCAATTGTGTATTTTCACCACAAATATAACACTCATAAGCAAATAGACATATGAATAAACATCCTATTACACTATAATATATATAAAGTTGCAGGAAAGTTGCAGGATCGCGGTTTCCCTGCTAATAACTTTATATTTTAATGAAACAGTAATAAAAATATTATTAAGTTATACAAATGTTATGTAGTAATTGTGTAATAAAATATTTCTTATATGATTGAGGAAAAAAATGAGCTGATTGCAATAAAACATTACATTATCAATATTTGAATTAACTGATATATCATACAATTGTATAAATATAAGAACCTTATGAATTTATAAAAATAAATAAATAAGAATTGACTTGAAACATAACTAAATCAATTATTTACAAAAATATTGGAAAAACGCCAATTAGATAATTATACTTAATAAATTATACTAATGTTATTTATTAGTAAAGTTAATATAATAATATTTATAAGTTTTACATTTATCAATATCTGAATACTTATTCAATATCAATACATAGCCAGGATTTTGTGTGGTCTATAATAATCAAATGTCATTTATGATCAGGGTCTGTCAAGGACGGCCCATAAGGTAGACTTTGCCTCTATGCTCCCATAGGAAATACATTATGATTATGCCCTCGAATGCCCTAATTTGCCCGCTCTGCCAAACGTTGATTTATGATTGATGTTGTTAATGCAGCAAATCTATTTTGTACTCTGTATAACATGATAAATATATATATATTTAAATGTATTGAACTAAATGATAAATAAAAGGATACTTAAAATTTAAGATAATGTAATCCATATTATATTTATAAAGAAATGAGCTACAATAATAAAATGTATTTAACATGTTACACGTCATTAAACAGTATATAATAATTTAATATTTAATATTTAATAATAAAATAATTTTAAATATTTCTAAGGTAATATTTAATTGATAGTTATAACCAAGCAAAATATGATTTTAAAAACTAAAGTTAACAATAATTAATAATTAATTTACTTTACGTAAAACTTATTTGCATACAGTATATGATTAATGCATGTACAGTATAATTATTTTATATTAATAATTAGTACTTGTGATGAAGATTAAATTATTTAGATAATATAAGAAAACAGTAAGTTTTTTATAATGTTAACATCATTATGCATAATTGTTATGATATTTATATTTAGTTTTTATTAAATCGTCTATTACAATATTTAAAAACGATTTAAAATAGACTTACCAAATAAATAAGAAAATATGAATCAGTTTGACAAAAATACAATTGGAGATGTCGACATAAATACCATGATAAAAATGATTTCAATATCAGACAACGTAAACAACTGTAAACCGGATAAGGTTTATTTCATTACTATTTTATTATATACAATCTAATTCATTTTAAACATGCACAAATAACTATTGTTATAATTATTAACTATTGTTTTGTTTATAAAAAATGTTTTTATTTTCAAAGAAACGAGAGATTACTTTATTATTATTGGGAGAGTCAGGTGTGGGAAAATCCACATTCATTAACGCAATTGTAAACTATATGTCTTTCGAGAGAATGGATGTGGCAAATGGTCTAATATGTTTGATTCCCGTCAACTTTACCATCACAAATCCAGAGACACTGTTACCGGAGAGGGTAACACTTGGTCACAATGATATGAATGAAAACACTGATGATCCGACACAATCTGCCACACAATATCCCAAGTGTTATACATTTCAAAACAATGACATTGTGCTCAATATAATCGATACGCCGGGAATTGCGGACACGGATGGTGTGGATAAAGATAATACAAATATGCAAAATATATTAGATTTTATCAGTAATTATCGGGAAATTAATGCTTTTTGTGTTCTCTTAAAGCCAAACGATGCGAGAGTTGATGTCGTCTTTAAGTATTGTATATTTCAATTGTTCACTCATTTGAATAAAAGCGCCGCAAATAATATACTATTTCTGTTCACAAACTCCCGGAGCACTCATTACATGCCCGGAGAATCGGGTCCCGCATTAATGAAAATTTTGAAGCAAATCAGAGAAAGTCCACCAAATGTTGACATCCCTTATAACAGATCGACTACTTATTGTTTCGATTCCGAGTCCTTTCGATATCTCGTGGCATCGGTTCCGCCAAATAATATACGATTTGAACCAAGATTAAAGCACATGTATGAAGATAGTTGGGAAAGGTATGTGATACATTTTGGGCACATAATAACTAGAATAAGTGTAACAATTAGATTGAATAAAAGTTCATCAATTATCAAGATTAATCCTAAAATATGCTAAAAAGTGAATTCCATTATCTGATATTGGATTTATGCGTTAAAAATGGTACTAAAAGACACTTTACAATTAGGTGAAACCATCTAGCTCTAAAATTTAGGCCAACGGGCATATTTAGCGGGTATAATGGCCACAATTAGATTAAGAATTTGATTTAATAGTTTTAATTTATGCGCCAGTATTGTGTGGATATTTTATTCAAATCTATCATACCATCACCTTACTCATAATTAGTAGACATAAATACAATATTCACACTTAATATTACTTTTAACTTGCAAATTAATTGATGAGTTATATGAAATGATTAAAATTCTGAATAAAAATTATAGTAAACGTAATCATTAACTATGTTTTTGAGTATTAATATATAAAACTTGTATTTATATCTACTAATTATGAGTAAGGTGAAAGTATGATAGATTTGAATAAAATATCCACACAATACTGGCGCATAAATTAAAACTATTAAATCAAATTCTTAATTTAATTGTGGCCATTATACCCGCTAAATATGCCCGTTGGCCTAAATTTTAGAGCTAGATGGTTTCACCTAATTGTAAAGTGTCTTTTAGTACCATTTTCAACGCATAAATCCAATATTAAATAATGTAATTCACTTTTAAGTAATAATAAGTCATGTATAGAGCCAACCAATTCGGCTCAAGTTCTCGGTTTTATATACCAAATAAATATACTTTTATTTCTTATAGATCTGTGGAGGAATGTCGGCGTCTATTCAATCACATAATACAACTGCCGGCACACAAAGTGATGGACACCTTATCGCTGAATAACGCCAAACAAATCATACAATTATTAACCAAACCGTTGGCCGACATCACGAAGAATATCGCGGATAACGTAATGCAATGCGAATTACATAGGAATGAGATTAAAGCATACAAGGGATCCATTGAAGAGCTGCACAAAAAACTATACATACCGTCGGTTGAGATAATATCCGTACCGTTAGACCGGCCAAAGACTATATGCGGTGTCGCCGAGTGCTGTGAATTTACAACAATCGATGGCGTCATCGATATTAATTACCTAACCGAATGCCATTCACCATGCTACCTTGATTTTGACGATGGTAATATTGTGGGCAATAAGGGCCTGCTTCGGTGCAAAGCGTTTAATATACACAGTACCACCGATCGTGACCCTGGTAGGTCGAGAAAATCATGGTTTAAACGTACCATCTCAGCGCCCGGCGGCCGATTGCAGGAGAAAAGGGCCCAATCGGTCGAATGCTATCATTGCGGCCATAGTTACGAAA